ATTTCTCTCATCTTTTCTTAGTTTCCCGACGATTCTGCCGCAAGATCCGTTGACAAACCTAAAACAGAATGCCCACCACTGACAATTCGATCTTCCTAGAGAATTGTGTGGAGTCATATCACAATCGAACTGAAGTATTGACACGATGAATAAACAGCAAGATCAGTTTCACCACGAAAAGAATCGATTTTAAATGAAAACAGAACAAAAACAAGAAGGAAAAAAACAAACAAAGAAGTCAAGTACAGTTGCTCAGTGTTTTATCATAAAGAGTTTGTTTATGATGATTAAAACGTTAGAATTCTAAGTTGATGATTTTGGATCACCGAGTACCTTCATCCATTTATGACAAAAATGGCGGCTCTTTAGAACTCTTTACACTTCTGTTGCCATTACGACACATCTTTGGCATAAGGACCACGCAGTGTTCAATTGGCGGGAGACATCTTCAGAACTAAAACCTAGCGCTTCTCCATATTCTTCGTCTTCTACGTAACTTCCCCGTGTCTCTTCGCTTGAAGATTACTCCGTCTCCTTCTCCGGATGGAGAAGATCTGTGACATATGCTCACTAAAATTCATTCAGACGACAGCAATGTAGCACCAAAAAGAATGAAACACTACAGCGCGAGTGCACCGAGCAACCTTTTCACGCCATAAGCACAGAGTGCACTGCACACCAGTGAAGATGGCAGTTGCGGGAAATTCGAAGTGGCTACAAGACCCTTCTTTGGAAAACGATAAAAAAATGAGATAACTTAGTAAGATCTATTAAGAAGTATATTTGGAACATTTTGTGTGCCGTCAGTAAAGAAAATTAAGGTTTCCTTTAAAAGCCCATAAAAATGTCTGGCATATATATTTGCAAATCATAAAAAGAATGAGGTTTCCCTTAAAGGCCTATAAAAAGGTCTGATACATACATTTACAAATCATCATAAATATATTGTCTTTCAGTCCAGCTTGAAAAGCATTCGGGCCAAAGATTACAAAAAAAATGCAATGCGATACGTTGAATGGATGTCACGCAAAAGTCATGCTTGGCCAAGAATTTACCATGTATATGACCTCTAGCCGTTTAACAGATCATGTTGCAGTTTTTNATAGGTATATTTTATGACACATTGGAATTCTAGGAATCCAATACGGCAGATAGTACATTTGGCTAAGAACATGTTAGCTCAAGTCTGCTAGCTTGCACATGTAGGCTATGAGTTACCCGCACTTTTTTTTGCCAATGAAGTAGAGTTTTAAACAACAACAAACATATGAAACATATGTATGAACTGCGGTTATGAAACGTATATGTGCACGATCCTTCGCAGTAAAGCACTATTTGAGCAATAGTGAAAATCAGACCTGAAAAAAATTTCAGGCCTGTACGGGATTCGAACCACTGACCTCTGCGATACTAGAGGTCTGATTTTCACTATTGCTCAAATAGTGCTTTACTGCGAAGGATCGTGCACATATACGTTTCATAACCGCAGTTCATACATATGTTTCATATGTTTGTTGTTGTTTAAAACTCTACTTCATTGGCAAAAAAAAGTGCGGGTAACTCATAGCCTACATGTGCAAGCTAGCAGACTTAAGCTAACATGTTCTTAGCCAAATGTACTATCTGCGGTATTGGATTCCTAGAATTCCAATGTGTCATAAAATATACCTATTAGGTTCCTTATCACCGTTCTCGCGAGTTCTCAAGATCAGTTCAAATATTTCGCACGTATTTCACAAGTTAATATTCATTTTCAATATCTAAGATTATTTGTTTTGGGTTTACATAACATGTATTTTAATGACTGTTTCTTTAGATGTCCACATACGAGTAATGTTTTCATCAAGAAATTGAAAACTACACGTACAACGTCGATAAGACCTCCTTTGTCGACGTAATACCGGAGAGTCATGATCAATTATTGCAAAGGAAGTGAAATGACATATTTTCTCACGGCTCCCAGCATGGTTAGAGAATTTGACCTGATTCAGTGTAGCAGGAAATCATATTCAAGATCAAAATCTCTTCTCACCAGCTGGATCTCAAGATTGCTTCCGCTGTGACTAGCCTTTCTTTTTTACCCCTGCCAATAAATGATAAACTTATGGTTGACAATTAGCCCATATTGGACAATTTAGTCCGTCAACGAAGATCCAACTATGTCATCTTGAATGTTTTACTCTCCCACGAATAAAAATAAATTCCCGCTTTTGAAAGAGGAATTTTCATGATCTTTCTCTCAATACTTCTTCGTATCTTATCATCAAAGGAAAATGTTGCTCTTAAACAATGCAGAAATACGATCCAGCACATTTAAGCAAGTTATGCAATCTTTTAATTCAAAAGTTTTGGGTGCCGTTGGAATTCAAGATTGCCCAACACCAACGTTATAAAGAAAATATACAGATAAGAAAGAAACTCACCTGTAAAATAGTTCCCCCTTTTGGAGACTTGACAGAACTTTGAAATAATACATCTAACGCGAAAATTAGCCCGGATTTTTACGGAAAGCTATGATTTGGTACTATTAAAACGATGCACTGGAGCTTTGAATTGGCATCTGTGCGTTATCATTTGCGGCTGAAATCTGGCTGACTCTTTGCAATTGATTACCGTATTGTGTTATAGAGAGTTTCATAACATAACAGAAATTCTCTGGAAATTTTCACGTCTCTAAAATGATATTTGTTAATTAAGTGTAGTGGAGTATAAAATCAATATCCTCAAGCAGTTTGACCAGTACTTGCCCGGAGCACGAAGGATAGTCAAGGTAAGTGCCTTGCTCACACGCAGCAATCGTTTACAATTTCCATTTACATCCATATATCCTTATTCCAACTTTACAGAGCAAAGAAAAATCTCCCTAGTTTTTTCCAACTCTAATGCTATTTTTTCTCGCCCTAATAATTCTTCAGTTCTGATTGGGTTAACATTTTGTTTCTAAGTCGGTGGTATGAGATATTCGTACTTCAGCATAGATGAGTTTATAACGAACTGATTGAGACCGGTTAATCTGTTGATTTATTTTTTAAGGAGAAGACGAAAGAAAATTATTCTCGAAGCTAATTAGGAACAGACAAGGCTGTCAATACCTGTCAAGAATAAATTAGAAAGGTTCACTAATTTAGAGTCAGTTTGTTGACTACGAGGATGTTTCTGTGCTGCTACCATTACAAATGCTCTAAATTCGTGACAACTGGCTCCCAGAAGTTTTTCATCTTTGATCTGTTTCAGTCTATCACACTCTCGTACTCATAATTACTCACCTATTTCAGTTCTCCCTTTTTGTATTGTTCACGACTCCAAAGTTCGATTACATATTATATCAATTAACGCTTGGGTCATGCAACAATAACGCAAAGAAAACTTGCAACGCAATACGAAACTTTTAACGGACTGTTTTATGACATCTGTCCGTATTTTCTAACCTTAGAAGTTATTGAATTAGCTGCACATTAATGAAATGAGGAAATCTGCAGCATATGAAATTGGGCTCTACGTATGAATCCGAAATCAGTAGCAAATTGACAGTTGAAAGCCAAATAAGGCAAAAACAAAAAAAAAGTAAAAGAATGATAAACAGCTGCAACGCGCCTGGATGTTCTAGTGCTGCAGCTGAAGTGATTATGATTTACTCATAATAATCAAAGCAACTCACTTCATAATCATGTTAGCACAGCAAACTCATCATGGAAATTACAATGTAGAATCTAATCGTTATTGAGTTGCCCTTGCAAATTTCGCTCTCGCTCAATTTTTTTAGAGAAAGCAAATTGAAAAAAATAATCACATGTTACGCAGATTACAACAATTCCTGTCTTGTAGTTGAGGCGATAATAGAGAAAACTATCATTACATTTTAGAATAAGACGTTTTTTCTTTATAACATGG